CCTACAGTACCATCATGACGTAGGCAAAACTTTCATATTGCAGATGGGAAGAGCAAGGCACGCAGTGTTAGGTACCAGTCTGTCTCAGGGTGCTGCTCCTGAAATCTTCTGTAATCAGTCCCCGTAGACCATTTCATACTCATTATTGTTGCTTATGGCCCACAAAAGTTCAAGTTTTTAGGCGTAGTAACTTGATCAAGTTAAAACAAAGAGCTTGCACTTCGTTTCAGACTTTCAAAATACTGTTTTCTAGTGTTTTTCCTATTCACAGCTTAAAAGTAGTACCTTTTCTGTGTTTATCGTTATAAAGCACAGAGGAATAGAGTAACTGTGTATTTAAAAGCATTTTAAATAGTTTCCAGTAAGTTTTCACCTTCTTTTGCGTGGGTGGCAGTCCCAGTAAAGCTTATTATGAGATCTTGTGTTGTTTAGTATTTGCTTGATTTGCTGTACTTTTGGAAGGACTTTCCCTTAGTGATCTTTTCTTGGATGACCTCTCCATACCGTCATTAAAACTTGGAAACTTTGGTCTTCTTGACAGTTAGTTCTGCGTTCTCATTATGTTCATTCTTATTGTAAACATGCTAAAATTGCTGCTGTTGTTGCTTAGAATGGATTTTTCCTCAGTTGTTTTGAAGTTTAGTAGAAATAGAAGTTAATCTTTAAGAGAGTTAGGCTTGTAATGATTGGATAGCTGAGCTTGATAGGTCACGCTGTGTCTGTCTTTTCATTTGCTTAGTAGATGATGTTCTGCTGACTCCAGCTGTTTTTTTGAAAAGCAGAAAAACAATTTGCTTTTCCTTCCCATAAAATATAACCCTTTGTTTATCCTTGTACTGCTGCAAGTTTTGAAAGTGCATATACTCGCAAAGAAAAGAAAAGGAGGAAATTGCTCTTTTTTTTAATGCTACTTTTTGTGTCTGACAAAAGGGTTTAGTACTGAGTTGAATTGTTGACCTCTGTGGAGTTTATTATTAGAATTGACTGACTTGTGTGTGGATACTTGGCTGTATCTGATTGCTCGAATCCAGTTCATGGAACAAACTGCCTATGATAGGTTTGGCGAAAACAGCTGCCGTTTTTCAGAGATAACTTTACATTTTATTTCTGTTTGGATTAATTTTGGATTTAAAGAATAATGCTTTTTGTAGTTCCTCATTTGCATCAGTTCATTGAAATAATTGATAACAGCTCCCTTTTCCCAGCAAGGCATTTATTTTTGCTATGAGTTGTCAAATTGCGTGGGTTTTGTCCTTGCAGTGCATGTGTTGGCTGGTGCTCCTTTTGCTTTCTGCTGGAGAAGTATTAGGATGTGCTTGCAGAGGCGTAAGAGAGGAAATGCAAGTGACTAATTCTAAAGCCGCTGTGAAGATTTAGAGAAAGGTTATCATCTGTCAGCTTTTATACATAAAAGGGAAGAAAAATAAATGCTATTTGGGGGGCCTGCGTGTCTTTAAGGAGCCAGATAAGAATTGCTGCAGCAGAAGTCCACATTAAGTCCTTACTGGTCCAGATCTATAATGTCATCGGAAGAACATGTTTGTATTTACAACCCAAGGTTGTATTTACAACCTTTTTTTGCTTTCTTTGTTCCTTAAGAGGCTCTGGCTACCCACATTTTATGCAGTGCTGGAATGTAATAACAATTGTGGCATCATCTCTTCAGAATTCATTTTCCTTCCTGAGATCAAGGCGGTGATAAGGCCTTGCAAAATATTCGCTTGGTTTTGCTTTCCTGGCCTGAGATGGATTTAATTGGATGAATTGCTGCTTTTTTCCTTCCATTGCTTTGTGACCTTTGAAATAGCTTGCTATGATCTTTTGAATTTTGTAATGCCTTCACTGCTCTGCTCTTTAAAAAAAAAAAAAAAAAAAAGGCAAAAAAAAAAGAAATAAGGAACTGTTTATGCTAAACCAGCATGAACAGTACGGCTGCCATTCCTGCATGTGCCCAACAAGAACTGCCATCAGGCGTGTCTTCAAGTGTTATCAAATGTCAGTTTAAAATTACACCTGTATGTTATTGTTAACACCCTCTTACATACCTTTTCAATGGTTTTGAAAGCCTTGAAAATAATGCCAGTTAACTTAAAAGGAACATCTATTGTCCCTATTAAATATTCTGAAGATTTTAAGGGCCTATTTGAAAAGGCCCTGATATTTGTCAAATAAAAAGGGGGAATAGGTTTACTTTTTCTTTCCATGGGGAGCAGCTGAGCATCCAAGCATCTGACACCTGATCCATTGGTGGAATAGAGACATAGCCAGCTGTGTCGTCGTCTTTGTGTGTTACTTCTCATAATGCAAAATTGGATCGTATGCAGTAAATATCTTAATTAATTATATGTATTGTTCTGAAATGCTGTTTGCCTGATCTCAGCGCTCCTTCTGCATGTGATACAGGTTCAGCTAACCAGGGCTCCTTTAAATGAGAGCGGCATGGCTATAATTTTTAAATGGTTTGTTTTGATTCCACGTTTCTTGGTCAGCCGGGAGAGAGAGACTCTGACTTGCTGAATTGTCTATATTCGCCTATGGTTCAGGAATCAAGGAAAATGGAGATTAACTATGTGTTTGATAGCCCTCCCCCCCAGTGTTTCTTCTTTTTATATAGTTTTTGGCATAACAGAACTGATTTAGGCCTTTTCTAATAAATAGCTTTACTCATGTGGCTGAAGGCCCTAGTGTATGAGTTTAAGTTTGAACACTTAAGCTGGTATCTTATTATCAGAGCCCTAATCAGTAAACAGTTTTGTAGTTTCATCTGTGCGATTTTTGTATCTGAACTTTCAGGCTCTCACCGTGATGAAGAATCCCCCTAAAGTCACCCTGCTAGAAGCACACAGCTCAGCATGCTTTCCCGTGTCAGGGCTAGAACAGCAAAGTTCACATGCATCAGGAGGATCTGAGCACTAAACACAAGTGAGGGTTACATGTTAGAGAGAACAACCAGCTCCTCTAAAGAGCTTAGCCTAAAAGGACAAAAGACAAAGAAAGGGAAGCAGGACATGCAAACAGGGCAGCAATAGCAATTAGGATGAGGGTCAGCATGCTACTTTGAGTTATAGATTACCTAAGCTTTTCATTTATGTTTAACCATTATCTAATTGCTTTCAATAATTTTAAATCTTGTATTTTTAATTTGAGTAGCTAATAGTGTGGTACACTTTATTTTCACTCTGGCTTTATTTATTAAATTGCGTTTAAGCTGGGCCCCATCCACTGTAAGCCTTCCCGTATTTTCTTTCATGTTATTTTTGATTGTTTTCTATTGCAGGTATTTTCACCTTTTAATCCTCAGAAGAAGTATTTTCTTATTTTATGTTCATCTTCATGCATATATGTATACCTATTTTTAATGATGATCTAAAGCTAGTGAAAAGCAGGTGAACAATGTTTTAGGTGAAAGTTTGCCACTGATTTTAAGGGAATGAAGATTTTACACGCTGTGTGAAGTTAAGCATGTGCAGAAGCCTAGGAGGCTAAGGGCTTCTCTACAGAATTATTAAAAACAAAAGCAGAAGCACAACACATCCTTTCACACCACAAAAAAATAGAAGGGCTTGAATCTAACTGAAAATGTTGGTCAACAGTACTACTTCAGTCAGGTAAAATTAATTAAAATGTGAAGATACAAAACCAAAATTGAATCATACTTTTAAGTATCCCTTCACCCCACTGTATCAAAATGGTATTAAAAAAATGCAAGCATAAGGAGAAACTAGTATTTACACATAATTAACTGTTTAAAATAGCTCATCTAACCACAGCCTTATCTTTAGCTACAAAAATGCAAGCATTTACTGAGTGATATTAGCAATCGAAAGGCCTTTGTTTAGACTTTTTGTTTTCTTGGCAATAAGTAAAATTCTTTGTAATAAGTCATTAAGTTTTTTTTTTTAATGCTGCTTTTTTAAACTTTTCAGGCTGCTATCCTTGTCCAGGGCCAAACATGAATCCTATTGCTCTTGGAAGCCGTTGGCTTGCTTATGCAGAAAATAAGGTAAGGAAAGGCTTAACTTCTTAAAAGCAAAAACCAAAACCCCCCTTTTTTTTTTTTTTACTATATATACAAATGCTAGAATGATGATGATTAACGTCTCAGAAACAGGCTGTGTGAAAAAGGTGATTTGTAAGAGGACTTCCGTAACAGTGACAGACCTAGTCTTAGGCTCACGTCAGTTGTGTTTTGCTCTTTATACGGTATCTTCTTTTTATGTTTGATCTAAGTACCTGAACTTGCAGGGTATGAAGATGTGAATAGTATGGGCAGAGAAAAAGTAAGCTCTCAACATGTATTTCCAGTGAGGTCACTCAATAATTAACCCATTTTACGTTTAAAAAGTTTAAAACATTTCTTTATAGAAACATCTGAAATGTGGGCAAGTGAGGATTCTTAAACTCTGTCTGAGGCAAACTGAGTCAGAAAGGAGACCACGGATTTGTCTGACATGACACAGTAATTCCTCTCATAAGTTTGCAAACTTACACCTGCTTTTGAATTGGTTTTACTTATTTCCAAGGGTGGAAGAAGAAAATAGATAACAAGGAAAATAATTATCACTCTATTCCCCGACTCCTAGGCCAGAAAAGTGATTGTATATTTTAAAGCTGAAGTGTTTGAAATCTTTTTAAATTCAGCTTCCCATGCCTTATTTTTATTTCAAAGCAAAAGGAATAGCTCCTTCTGGAACTGAACCAAAAGTTATCAGAGAGGCAGACTTTATAAATTTATTTGTTGCTACATTTTTCAAGCACAAGTGTTTTTTCTCCAAATTCGGGCCTGCCTCTCCCTTTAGTGCCACGCCTATGTGGCTTGGTAGAACTTCCCAGCCAGCCTGGGATTTGAAAAGTACCACCGCCAAAAATATAAGCAACTGATTAATAAAATAGTTATATCAGAAAGTAAGTTAAGTTGCTTATGTATTCCCAGGTATATTCACTATGGATGGACGTCTCCTTTTTCCCTAATTTAACTACTTTCATTTAGATATTTTAACGTAAGAAGAAAAGGAATCACTGCAGAGGCAACTACATCTTACAGTGATTTTTGCTTTTCTTTTAGCAAAAATGGTAGGAGGGACAGTTAAATGAGCAACATGCTCTGTGCACCAGCAGTAAATATCCATAATTGTTTTAGCATTTTATTTAGTAAGAAGCACAACTTCCTATTTCTTGTTAGTTAGGGTTCAAAGGCAAGAACTGCTTTTGTAGGTTGATGGCAGGTAGAAAAGTCTTGTTTTGATTTATTACTTTTGAAGGAAGGCAATATAAAGTAAACCCCGTGTACATTCCTGTAATCTATTAAAGTTTAAAGTAGCTCTTTTCCTTTGTCATTTCTTTGCTTGCTAGTCATAAAAAGGAGGGGAAAGCCGCATTCAGATTCTTAGAATGTCGGATATTTAATGTTACATATACATGGCTAAAGCTTTTGATTATATTTATTTAAATTTATTTGTGGTATTGCTGCCAGACCAAAAATCCCACCATTTCAAAGTTTATGAATTCTTAGTGACTACTCATCTTGTAATTGAAAACTGGAGTTGAGTATGCGACAGTCTGGGTGGCACCCAGAAGATTATAAAAAGGGGTTAAGTGTCTCAGCAGGGCTTTTTGCTCTTTGTAGGAAAAAACACGCCACTATGCACGATAAATAAGAGCTATGGTAATAGGTTATGGGTTTGTGTAGTTTAATAGTAGTTAGTTGGTTGCTGTCTTTCTTATTACAGCTGATCCGATGCCATCAGTCCCGTGGTGGAGCCTGTGGAGACAACATTCAGTCTTACACTGCCACAGTCATAAGTGCTGCCAAAGTGAGTACATCACCCCACTGCGGGGAAGAGATTATCATGTAAGATAATTATTAGATTGCCCTGCTAAATTGTACTGATTTCCACCCCCCCTTCTCATTCACAGAAGAAAAAAATAAGGTAAGACACATGCTAGCATTAGCATATGATCCTGATCCTGCAAATCTCGGAGTAGCCATTATTTTCCTTCTCTCAAAAAGTACTCCTGTCCTTCAGAACTGCAAGCACCTCTTCATACTGGTGACCCCTGCTATGGGGAAATCATAGTAAAATGGATTTGCGTAATGACTGTTTGTAAGTTATAAGCCTGTATGATCAGAAATTAACTTCTAGCATTACTGATCTTTTTGCATCGTGGAAACTAACTTCACAAATGCTTGGTGCTTTTTGGTTTCAGTCACATCGGTATTACGTGTTTTAATCTCTCTGAAGGATGACAGCACAGTACTGTAGCTGATTAATTACTTGGTAGCTTTCTTTGAAAGTTAGAGTTTATTAATAATTGTTTGTATTTAGGTTCCGTTGCCTAGTTTTCTTAGTTCTGATGGACATTATAAATTCCCTCTGTTTTCAGAGAAATGTCTGGGTTTTCATAGTGTGAGAAGACCGTTGCTTGGAAATATCTTAGACAAGCCAAAGAGTATGCAGAACTGTTGTTTTACTCCCCCCCACCTCCACCCGAGCCTTTCCTTGAGGACTTGCCTGCAACATTTTGCCAAGTTATTTTTTTCGCGTGCGCGCACACACACAGACGTGCGCGCGAGTTTTGACATTGTCTGGCAAACTTCATGCTGATTACAAGCTTTCATTCGAACCACTAGCCTTTTCATTTGTGATATACACAACAAAACAAATCTAATAATAGGAATTAAATGACAGCACAGAATAGAAAGCCCAACTTCACTGAACAAAACAGCAGTTATAAGAACCCACAAAGAGAGACATAGGTCATGCCATCTCATGTAAAAACAAATAAAACACAGAAAATAACGTATTCCATCAGCATAGCTTTGGACACAATCTTGCTGTGGCTGAAGGGGGAGAAAAATCAGTTTTGTACATTGTTGAGGGGAATTTGAATTGCTGTTCTTCTAAAGGTTCCATATGAAATTTGCTCTATCTCTTTGCATTCTTTTACCATCAGCAAAAAAAAAATAAATCTCCCCAACTCTTTCAATCTCTGCATTATTAAAATATTTCTATGGTTCAGATAGGTTGGAAAAACAAACTGCCTTAGTGTGATCAGACACATTTATGATCAGATGTGGTAAAATTTTTACAAATGGATCACTGTACTGCCACAGTCTAGCCAAGTCATGACGGCAGAACAAGCCAAAGCTTTGTTAATCCGTATACTGATTGTCAAAGTATTCCAATAGGCTCTGAAGACCAGCACTGTTTCTTTGTAATTTTTTCACCTTGTCTCCTGAGTAATGCTGCTCAAGGATCGTAATTCAGAAATTCCCTTATTAAGCTGGACATATGCAAACATTGAAGCAGTGATGTAGCATCATGTAAATAGTTACTGAAGATAAAATCTTTTAATAGTCATAGGAAAGAAAGGCTTGTTAGCCTCTGTATAGAGATAAAGTAATAGTGAAAGTTAGGAAATTGCATAATGCTATTAGCAAACCATACGTGTGTTATTGCCTCCAAATTTAATGCATGCTGCTTACTTATTAACAGCGAAGGAAAAGAGTTCTGAGTTGATAGACAGTAAAGGGCAAAAGGCAAATCTTAAATTTCATCTGTGTGTCATAACAATATTTGATATTGTGTTTTCTTTACTCGGTGCTGAGATATCTGTGCCCTAGCTAGCAGTGACCCAATTATATATGAAGAGCATCTTGCATACAGTACAAATAACTTGGAAGATAAATGTTTAAATAGCTATTTGTGATGTAAATGAGAATACTAGCTAGGGGGGAAGTTCAGGTGGCCCTGGGCACATGGAAGGGACAGAGTGGAGCATCCTGTTGAGGTGTGCCTGAAACAGCTGTCAGTGATATTCCTGCCTCTCCCTTGCCTGCTTTACTGCCACAGGTATGAACTGCAACTCGCATTTTTTTCTTCCCCCAAGCTACGTGGAACGTGGAGAGGTGAGAATAATATGCAGCACTGGTTCAGGCTTGGAACGTACCACAGATCCTGCTATTGCTGTTTGGTAGTTTGGATCGTGGAGATGGGGAAGCGATGAAGCAGTTGGCATTCTGAATGCGTTAATCACTTCAGCGTCCCTCTTTGTTTTAGGCTGCCATTTATACATTGGATTTCCAAGGGCATCAGGAATTAGGCTGATTGGTAGCTTGGAGGTCTGGAAGTTATTTTTCCCCAGAAGTTGCTGATTGCGTTTCTTCATATGCTTACTGTCAACCAGGAGATTGGTCTAGGGGGTTTAAAAACAACTGTTCTGTTACTACCATTCCTGGTTTCCAGTTTAGCTATAGATTAGGGAGGATGCTGCAGAAGAACCAGGTACCTCATGGGTTGCCCCTCATGGTTTGCCCTAGCACTGGTCCTGGGCATGAAAGGTGACACACTTGAGACAGCCTGTGGTTCACATAATCTGTCAAACCTTTTCCAAGGGAGGTGGAAGAGACTGGGATTTTGGCATCCGTTTCACTGGGATTTAGCAGACCCAAGTTTATAGAAGATGTTTGGCAGTCATGTTTTCTTGTTTACGGTATATCAGAAACCAATGTGTTTGCCCTCAGTGTGATGTACTACTGTAAACAGTACTTCATGTGGAAAATATAGATGAATTTACTGCTAAATCAAAGAACTCAGGAGTCAGAAGCTCATCTGTTAACATAGCATACCCAGCTGAAAATCAAGGTCAACAGTGGAGTGTGGTGTCCACTGGTGCTAAAAGTTGTGTTGTTATTCTGGTAGCATTTTGAAAAGTTCCTTTATGTCATCTTCCTGTTTGAATTTAAAATTTCTAGAAGGATTTTATTTTGAACATTACACTTTTTCCTGTTTCTCTTCAGATGCATCTTACCAAGAGCATTGCCTTCGGCTTTTGCTGAAAAAATATATAGGATTTTTTCCAGTTCAGTCTCTATTTTTATTTCCTCCCATTTGTTTGGTTGTTTTCTGTCTATATATGTTCTTAAAAGCTCTAATAACTTACGTAATTTGACCGATTGAAAAATTCATGGAAATTAAAAATATGTGAAGATTTCAAGTTAGGTTAATGTTACTAAGAAAAAAAAAATTGCTGGGTTTGGAAGAATGCAAATATTGTTTCTTATGAGTTGAAGATGCTTCTTACTGCCAGTGGAGCAAACACAATAGAACGGACATAGCTATCTCTAAGGATAAACCTCATTTGTATTAGTGATTGGAGAATATTCAGGTGCTTGGTTTCAGATAAAATTAATTATTAATTAATTAATTATCCATAGTTTTGGATGAGGCAAGGAAATGGACATAAGCAAATAAATATTTGTGTCTCCATGCTTGTCATCTTATTAATGTCCTGTTGTGAAGAGAGGTCTGGTCTTGACACGTCCATGGGTCAGTCACGTGCCGCTTCACTCTCTATTCAAATAAAGCGGTGCTCATGTAGATGTTTCCCAACGTAATGTATTCCTAGCAGTCGAGCTTTCTGTGCTATTTAAGATGAATTCGCTAATAGATCTTCTTCCTTGTCCTACCTACCTCTTTTCAGAGCATGTGGCAGAGTGGGAAAGTGAAACAGCTTTATAAAATATCAGCATTTCAGAAAAACAGTTTGAATTTGAATCTATAATTGATTGCATGTTTGTGGTGTTCATACTAACCAGAAGGCTTTTTTTGTTGATTGCCAAGGCATTCGCATATAAATAGACGCATATCTTTTTGCTATGTCTCTTTCTCCTCTCTATAGAATTTTCATTTATAAACAAATAAATAATGTGAAACTTATTTGTTATGAGAAATGGGAACAATATATTGTGTTGTCATTAAAAGGATGCAAGACCTTGTTGGAACAAAACAGTCTAACAGTCACTGAATGATGCATTTTAATTTTCTCAACTAATTAAAGATGTATTTATTTTTCAGTTAAGTGAGAGTGACTGCATACATTTATTTTAATTAAATATATGTGTTTTTTTATATTTGAATGAATGTGAACAGCTTTATTTTCAACCAGATAGATAGACATACATGAGCATACAAAGAGTTTGGGTGTTTGCACAACGTGCATCAATGCTTACAAAAGGAATTGGATTTTGTAAGAAAATGTCACTTAGTATGCACTAGCAATTCCCATCCGTGACAAAGGAATCAGGACAGTGCAAACTTTAACCTATTTCAAATTAAAATGTATTTGGTCTGTCGAATGTCTAGCATCAAATTATAAACCAAGTTCTTCTCACCTAATAACTTCTTTAGATGATTCTTTCTCCGTATCTTTTAATCCTCTCGTGGTAAAGTGATTTAGCAAAGGCTGCATCTGTTTTCTCTTGTTACCTGATAACTTCTTAATGAGTACTAACAGCTTATGTGAGAGCAAGGTCATTAGCTCTAATGGATAGAAGGGACAGCTGATATGGCATGGGAAAGGTTAAAGATTACTGGAGAAGTTTTTGCAAATATACACATAGCACAAAGAAGTAAGTGCTGTAATGGTTTTTCACTGATATTTCTGCGCTAATGGCCTTGGCCACATCTTTATACACCTATTAATTCTCAGTAGCCCTGCATTCACAATCTGCTGTACCATGTAACAGTAATTCAGTTCGTTAGATAAGCATGTTAATTTATTTTCTAAAGACATTTAAATTGTATGCTTAGCGCTTTGTAATCCAGTTTCTGTAGTTAAAATATTTAAGATATTTTCTAAAATAGGTCAATTATGATTCTTGTTCTTTTAACCTATGCAGGTATTTTGCCATATAGTAGCTCTATACTGCTTTTTCTTTCCT